TGACCAACTTTAACTACATTGCTGTCTGCAAGAAACTCATTTAAAGATTAATTTAAAATAAAAAAAAATAATAAAAAAAACAGCTTGCAAAAAATCTATTCAGGAGACATGTTATATGAAATCCTATTACTTTATTAAATAACACCCAAATACAAAAATTGAGTCCTCCCTTAGTTTACAGTGACAGTGTGCAGGCCTTATCCATTAAGCTGAAACACAAATCATATGTTTACACCAGAATTAGATGAAATTTGTCATCTTCTGTTTTTAAACACTAACATTCACATAATACTTTCTACCATGTCATATTGTCTGCCTGCTTGGTTTCTTTCCTATGGATGACATTTTAAAACCTATAACTAAGCTCCATAACAGGACATTTTATAGTGGTAAATAATGGCATTTTTAAACTTTTTTTGTAAAACTTGTATTGCCATACTTGCTCTGATTCTTAAACCCAGTCCTGAAAATGTCCGTTCCATTAGGAATGGTACAAATTGACATTTACGACTTCCAACCTTCAAACCCTGTTATGGCCAGAGGTCATTCTTTTATATCAAAGCAAAGAATAATATTCCACGACGGATAATGGCTACCTCAACCTCTGGCACTTTTTCAGAAGAATTATGCACGCCATCTGCTAAACACCTTTCAGTAGAACCACTGAACAGTAGCTGCCGGTCTGTTTGTGCTGTTTTCTATGTATGCAAATATGATGTTGGATATCTGTGTATTTTTCATGTGCTGCAGAACATGAACCTACTTTAAAACAGCAATTTTGCTAAGCCAAGTGTAATTTGTTTCAATCTTTTTCTGTTTTAAATACTTGAATAGAAAACACATTGCCTTGGCTTTTGCTGCCCCTTGTTATCATGACCGTTTTCGTGGCTCTTGTTTTCTTGTTTGTACTCAGTAGGTGGATCTCTTGCACAGCTGACATAAGGACAAGAAAGTGTTTCAGCCATTTAAAAAATCATTACATCTTGGCTCCTCTTCCTACTTATCAAAGGGGATTTGGGGGTTGTATATTAGGCCATGCCATCAAATGTAACATTTCCCCTATATAAATGTGATACATCCTTGGAAAATGTTTTAACCCATAGCATATTGCACCCTACCACATACAGTCTAATTTTATTAGTTTCTGGGTGAGAAATAGTAGCTAGCTTCTATCCAGCCACAGCCCCCAGCTTCTCCTGAGGCACTTGAGGGTTGGTCTGAAACTATGGAATACTGTATTTAAAACGTGATCTATCGAAGAAGTGCTCAGTTTTCTACAACAGATGTAACCACCAACAATATCCCCCACTATCACATTTTCTTCACAACCCAACCTAACATTTGTAGTTACTTAGATTAACTTGAAAAACCTTTAGTCATTTGTACCTGTTTGAGCTTTGTCTCCTTTAGTTTTCAATATATTTTCAATACAAAATATATATTTTGAAAAAAATTTTTTGAAGTAAATGACACATCAGAAGCTTTTTGGGGGAGTCAGGCGCTTTCAGTTGCACATTTCAAATTACAAATTAATTTTGCACTTCCATTGCAAATTGGAAATAAATACCTAATTTTTTTTTTTTTGGTTTGCTCTTTAAACCAGAATTGAATTTCAACTCTATTTGGATTATGTTAATTTTTTTTATGTCAATGTTCTGTGTAGTACCTCAGCATGTATTTTATTTCAATACTTTGTTCTGTTTTATTACTGAACTATCTCAAACATATTCATCCATAACTATTATTTACTATATTTTCCAGCTGGATCCAAGGCCAAGAGATGCTAAACGCCAAAGTACCTCATGTAGCACCAAGGCTCAGTTGACTTAATCCTTTTTCGTACTTCTGTTCAATGGGACTCTGTATTTTGGTTGCTTCTACCTGATTAATGTGTTGGCAGTGATTGATTTCAAAGCTTTGTCTACTTGATCAGCTCTCACTTCAGGACCTGGTTTTCTGATCATTTTCATTTAAGAAAAAATTCTAGTTGAGATATGACCTCATATAAAATTCAAGTAATATTCAATTTGCGCCTTAAACTATTCTCTTAGAGACTCACAATATGCATTAGAAAAACTTACCCAATTACAGAGCAAAATACAATTAGAAGAAAATCGCTGCAAGGACATATTTCATGAAATTTTAAACACTCAATTTGGAGGCTGTACAATTTTCTTTTTCTATTTAGATAAAGTGAGAGTTACAGAAATGCTTAAGGGAAATCTATAGTGCGTACAGGGATAGCATGCCATATTGTTAAAAATTTATCAAACTTTAAAGGCGATAAGCATTTCATTTCACATATTTATTTTAAAAGTAGGCTTTACAGTAAAAAAAATCTATTTTTTCCCTTTTTTATTCCTCATAAGGTATGTGAACCTAAAGAAAGGTGGAGGTTTCTGATATGCTGAAGTTACAGTGTATGCTAAATTTTGATCGCAAGGCTAGTGCCATACATCTAAATGTATCATTCCTAGAACTGAGGAAGGTGATGAGTTTGAATATCTTTGAGCAAATTTATGTTCACCAGCTTGCATCGTGTAAGTGCTTGTATTTGTATTGGCACATCAGACGTGTGCCTGTCTTGTGTTGTAAGTGAACTGTAGATTCATGGCTGCTTCAGATGTATCAACCTCTGTTTGACAGAGGCAGCAGAGCCAGGAGGGGGAGAAAGATGGAGAGATAATGGGAATGGAGGGCGAAAGAAGGCTAGCACAATCTTTAATGAGTTTCCTTGGCTCTCTTTGCCGGTTTCTGGGTCAGGGTCCCTTTGGCTGAGTGTGTGGGTGGACTCGGGACTGTGTTACACAAAAGAAAGACTAAGCCAAGGTCTGCTTATTAAGTCTTTAGATTTATGAAGACATCACTAGAAAATTTCATGGAGAAAAAAGTCTAACTTTTTCTTGATGGAAAATGCAGTTTAAATGTAATTTTTTTGTAACAAATGTATAACAAACCATTATTCCTACAAAACATGACATAGAACAATTGCATTTAGAAGTTACTTAATTGTTACAGCAAATAGAATTGATCTGTATATGGTCCATTCTCTGTATGAATCCAGCTTTTTATGAAGGCCCCAAAGACATCATGAAGAAATGAAAAAGAAAAGCTTTAATTTTACATATTATATATACTTTTTTTGTTGAAATTAGGTGATGTTTGCTTAAAGAACCACAGAAAAAAAAAGTTATCACCAAAATTGGAGCCATAGAACAAATTTGCTCTTGAGACATAGGCTTCAGACCCCTTGCCTAGATCAAAGCATATTTATATGTTAGAATGGCCCAGTCAGTCATGACCTAAATCTAGTTGGAAATCTGTGGCACGACTCAGAAGTTGATGTCCACAGATGCTCCCAATCCAAAGTATCTAAGCTGAAGCAAAGATTGAAAAAAGAAAAAACAGCCTTTTAATGTACCAAATTGCAAGAGGCGCATCCTAAACAATGGCAGCCATAGTGTTTAGGGACTTATGGAGGACTGAATGAGGTATTTACTCTTCCCTTTTAAAATCGCAATTCTAAACTAGTTTGTTGGTTTGTGTAAAATCCCACTTTTGTACATATTCACGAGCGAAGAGTTTTTTTCCCCCATATTTTACCAAAAATTAAACTCTCAGGGGTATGAATACTTTTGCAAGATACTGTACACAAGCAGATCTCTTTCATCTTTGCGATGTTAGCTTTGTTCCTTTTTTTGATTGGTTTCTTCTGCACTTTCATTTCCTAGCAATCAGCTTTAGTCCGCTTGCAGGTATGGAAGGAGAGATAACATTAGAGCAACATCACAGAGAGATATCTGCCCAGTCGAGACGTTATTTAGTGCTCCCAAAAGCATTCACGAGGCAACTTCTGTCAGACAACAAGGCTCCATCATGTCCATACAGGTCAGAGAAGCTGATAGATGGAAGGCCATGGAAGAATTACTGATGGGGCTGATAAACCTCATTGTGATCCAAACAGTCTGCCTTCCTGTTCCTGTCCTTCTGCACTACATTTCTGTCTGCCCAGCTCCATTCCTACATATCAATCTGTTTCTGTCTAGCCTAGGTGCTCTCACCGTTCCTTCTTTCCTTCTGTTTCCCACTCTGTCTCTGTTAGTCTGCCTTCTTTCTTTCACAGTCATGAATAATTGATGTCTACCGGTTCGATAATAAGAATAGTACAGTTCTGCAGGTGACAAATAGGGTGGCGAATAGGCCTTATCCTGCCTTCTTCAAAGACTGAGAAAGTTAGCCTGGCTCACTTGGGTGTGCGTGCATGGCTGTGTATTTGTACCACTGTGAGCGCTTCTATGTGTATTTGTGCACTTGTATGCACACGCACATGCAGCTGAGAATTTGTGATTTAAGACACAGAGATGAAAGAGACTTGTAATTACAGGGAAGCGTATCTGTCTACTGCAGAAGTATCTGAGGAATGGCACATGGCACAAACTGGGCCAAAAGCCCGAGGTCATTAGATGTGGCGCGTGCATCTGGGTTGTCTGTGCGAGCTGGTGTTTGTGTGTATGTCTGAAAAAGAGTGACAAAGAGGGAGAACACAAGAGAAAATTGGAGGCACGGCTAGAAGAGCTTATAACTTTAGTTCCTTGGAGTCAACCTACGAAACTGTTTCTTGTTATTGGCTCTGCCTGGCATCACTGCTCTTTCATTGCTCAGCAGTCGCTGGTTGTGGTTTGACCAAGTGAGGGTAAGTTTTTGTAAATCCATGCAGGCTTATTGGTCTGAGAGGAATCCCAGAATTTCCTGCAGTCTAAAACACACTTGTGTAAACATTCCAAAATATCAAATGATAGGGATTTCATTGTGTGTGCTCTGTGAAGTGGATTATCTCATCCAAAGACTGGTTATAATACTCCCCCACTGTCTCTTGCCTGCTTTTCTTTCTCTCCATACTGATCCTTACTTTTTGCATCTTCACTCTCTGTTCGTCTTTGCAATTTCTTAAATGTCTACCCTTCCTCTACCATCATGTGACGGAGTTTTTCTCTTTACAGTTGACGATGACTTCATTGGTCTGGGTGAGCTTCCTGAAACATTCCCCTCAGACCCCCCTGAGCCACTTCCAGTGTTTCTGATGGAACCGGAGGAGGCCTACATAGTGAAGAACAAGCCAGTTAACTTGTACTGCAAGGCAACGCCTGCCACTCAGATCTACTTCAAATGCAACAGTGAGTGGGTTCACCAAAAGGAGCACACCGTGGAAGAAAGGGTGGACGAAAACTCAGGTCAGTAAAAACATCACCTTCATGTAATACATGTTGTGCAGGCCAATTTTTGAAAAAAAGGGCATCTGTTAAATTACCAAACATTTTTTTGATGTCAATGCATATCCAGCATGGGTTATATTTTCTATGTTCACTCGACTTTACTTTGAATGCAAAGATAGTCCATACACAGTGCAGGTAAATAGATAATCAAACACAATGTGATAGATTTATAGCAACAAAGATTTACATGAGTATGTTGGCATGCAAAAGAGCCTAGTTACCTAGGTGATTGCATTCAGACCTAATAAAATGCTAAAAGATCCACATCTGGACTGGAGAGATGAACTTTTTTCAGAAATCGTTATTAAAAATCCTTGAGTTTTGAACATTATTCACTATCTTAAGTAATTTCAAGTAATCAAACATGGACCCTCTGGATTTATAACTTTTTGCATGAAGAAGCAAAGTTGTTAGTTTTGTATTACTGCTTGTGAAATAAACATCAGTGATTTTGAGAAGCTCTAACCAAAAGCTTCCTTAACTGGATTGTATGTAGATCTGAGTCATTTGGTACAACATCATGGCAGTGTCTTTTTTTACCACATAATATGGTGACCGAATGTTGCATTTGCCCTTAAAATGAATGATTGTGTTTCAAATTCAAAAATTATTGTCAACACAGAAATGAGGCTTGTGCACATGAAGATTGAGTAATATGCCAAACAGATGGAACCGGCCATAATGCAACCAAAAAGAACTGCACATTTTCCACGTTCAAGCTTCTATCAGCATGTTTCTCTTATGCTTGATGACATCTGATAGGTTCCTATAGTAAGAAACCAGTCAAAAACAAAAGTACCGCCATTGCTTACCTCGGTGTATAAAGTATTTACTGTACCTGCAGCTATCGCTGACTCTGATTGGCTTTAGGCTTTAAAATGTTGTTTTGATCAATTACACAAACATTCTGTACTGTACACTCAATAAAAAGTGTTTTTGTAGTTTCAACTGGCATGCTTGTTGCAACCATGTGAAAAACATTTTTAAAATCTGTTTTCAGTGTTTGACAAGTGTTAAAATCTTAGTAACTGCCGAGGACTGTGTAATGGTGGTATTTGCTTTTTTTTTTGTATTATCAGGCTTCGCCTGCCATAGCAGGTTTCTCAATCCACTCTATTGCTAGAAAAATATATGTACATATATATACAGCTGGTGTTGCAGTCCCTAGAGTTTGGAGAACATGACCTGACCTGGATTTAATCTAGCTGTTAAAAACAACTAAACTTACATTCCTACTATTTGGTAAGACTTTTTAGACCAGCACAAGAAAAAACTTGATTTAGCAAAGATGTGGCCTGTCATTATAAATGTAACAAAAATTAATGCATGTTTTTCTGGTTTACGATTGCCATTTTGTTCACAACAAATCTATAAACCTGTTCTCATAAAGGCCCCTGGAATCACAAATAGAAAATGCTTAAGCTATAATAAAGTCTGTCTTTAAGATTTCACATATTTTTTCGAGGCATCTAAAGGAAGTGAAGGTAGTGCATCTCCAGTAGGGTTGTTTTCTCCTGAACTTAGCCCCTGGAGGCACCTGGACCATTACATACAACAAGCCGACGCTGATTGGCCGCATTCAGCTACTGTATTCGAAATTGAGTTCTTTCTGTCGTCCAAAGGTACCAATCATATTGCATTTACCCTTTTCATCCCACTGTTTTGCCTCACACATGCCTCGGAGCTCCCAAAGACACACGGCAAACACTGCTTCGTTGGTCCTGTGTGAGCATTTAAGGTCGTGAGCGCATGCATTCACATGCTTCAAGGACTGAAAGCTGTGTTTTTATCAAGGTGGGCAATAAAAACATGCTTCACAGCTGCTCTTAGTACTGACCTACACAAAAGAACTGAATACAGGCAACAGCAATCTCGTATATGTTATGACAAAAGTCTTACAGCACAATTACAGGATTTAAAATGTTCAGATTTGTTTAGATGGTACTGATTTTTAAAGGAATGACAGAAAAAAATAAAAACCTTTTCATTTATTTAATCTTATGTGCTTCAGCATGAATGCAGAAATTCAGGCATGTGTTTTAGTTATGACAAAGAAGAAGGAGAAGGTAGCATTGGCTCTTAGCCCTTGTGTCAGGAGGTTCTGAGCCAAAAGCATCAACAAGGAAAACAACCCACACATAATACAGGCACCCACTCTACAAAGCCATATCCACAGGCTATTTACTGCACAGATATTCATTCGTTTATGCTATTGCAAAGCACAGAAAACACACAGTACACTGAAGTTGCTCAGTGCGTGTGTTGCTGCTCTCAGCCCACTCTTTTGCTCTCTGATTTCTCAAATTGACAGAAAGGGAACACCGATAGAAACCAGCAAGCTTGGTCAATACCACTAATAACAGCCTGGAGAAACTCAATCACTCCTCTCCTTGGTTTTCTTCCCCTCTTTCTATCTTTTTTTCTGTCTCTCTGTCATATTTGAGAGAGCTGATGATCTTATGCAAATAGCACGGTCGCAAGATACTGAGATTAAGTGTACGAGAAACTGAAGACAGAAACCGCAGGTGTTCATTTCATGCTTCTGGCGGTATCCATGCCATTTCTTTCCAGATGTTTTACAGTCTTATATTAGAGCTGTGTGCAGAGCTGTGTAAACATCCTCAGCAAACAGATGTTTCGATTACCATCCTCTGTGCAAAATCTTTAGGGAAACATATGACTAGTATTAAATTTGGTCTCCAGCCTCATGACAAGGACTTCGGATGTAAAGAATCACATACATGAAAAAACTTGTCCAACTTGTGCTGAGTCATTAAGATTTCTTGAAGAGATTTTACAAGTTTCTCTGTTACTTGGTCAAGTATTCCGAGATTGGTTGAACGGTATTGGCAGCATTTAGGAATCGACTCCTGTAAGTCAAATAATGGAAATTCTGTCCTGCATGTTGTCTCTTCACACAAAGATGTGTCTTTTTGGTATGTGGCTACTTCCATTTTCTCTGCGGATGCCTGTAAACTTTTATCTCCTGTTCAACCTCTGTCCCACGCTTTGATAAATCCATCCAAATTTGTAGAGGGTATTTAAAAATTACAGCAAACGGCTGCAGCGGCTCCTGTTTATGCATTGAATTACCCCCCTGGTGAGCTTATTTTTCAGCAGTGGAATTTTTTTATAAGGGTCATATGGCTGGTTGGCTAAAGGGGAATGGGGGGCATGAGTACCAGATAAGAGATGTAACCTAGCTGCCTTTATACCTAAGATGCTTTTACTGTTACTTTTATGCATGTGCAGTTGATGTTGAATTATTCAGTTCAAATATTTTTCCACCTTTAATGTGGCATGTACTGTTCAACTGAAAAATAAGCACATCTAAGTGGGGAGAAAACGTTAAAAGCAAGACTAAAGCGATAAGTTGGCTGCACTTGTATTCACACCTTAATCTAATGCTTCGTATTGTTGCATGTTTTCCTTGCATTTAAGTTTTTAGTCTTCAAAAGATGAAACCGTCCTTCAAAGTTATACTCATCTTTGCTGGATTTCATGGCATTTACTCATTTACATCCTCCAAAGCCAATGTTTTCAGAGAGGTTACCAAGGATCCAAGAGTACAAAGACAAAAGTCAGTAAAAGGTTATACAAAATCCATAGTAAGAGTGGCTGCCAAGAATTCAGAAGCAACTCTGAAATTGCTATGGAAGTCTCTGAAAAGCACTGCTTGTGTTACACATGTGTGAACAGTTTCCTGCATTCTCCATCTATGTGGACTAAGAAATCAGTTTGCAAGTTGCCATCCAGGCCAGGCTAAAGTCTCAAAGAGCCTTGGGGGAAATGTAATACAACTCATTTTAAACTTTTGTGCCAGGTTTTAGAGAGATTTGTTTGGCATAAAATGATGCCTCTTAAAGAAAAAAGATTAGTTTAATCTACAGTGAAGCATGGTGATGGCAGTATCATGCTCTGGGGTTATTTTTTCTTTGATGCATTAGTTGAAGCAGATAACGTTATAATCAGTTTCAAATACTAACCTTGTTTGATCCCTTTGGATGTCTATGAGAAATCTGAGGGGAAAATAAGGGATTTATTCTTTAGCATGAGAATAAGTCCAAGTGGACCTGCAAATCAACAGAGAGATTACTAGAAAAAATAATGTCTGAAATGGGCCACCTATAGAGGGCTCTAATGAAAACATATTCCAACATTCTGTTAGACAACATTTGAAGTACTTTTAATAAATGCAATAAAGGTTTAAAAGGTCGAAACTTTACTATTCCTGCCTTACGTGACAAAAAAAAAAAAGAAAATGGGATGTTTCTTTCCCTAAATGTAGTTTTATCTTCCACTTTGCTCTTGACATTTTTGATTGTCCCAGTTTTGTTTAGTGACTGTTGTAACGTTTCCCTCCTGTTGCTGAGAGCAGGTTTTAGTCTCTTTTGAGCAAAACGAGCATTGATCCGAGCAAATGAGCGGTAAATTAATTTCAAGCAGCTCGTTTAACATACACAGGAGACGCCTTGTCACTTCCTCTGAGAAATGAGGTGGATGATCAAACAGGAGCCCTCTTCATCTGGACCGATAATCAGCACACTTACTCCTCCCTCCTGCTTCTGCTCATCTTCAGTGACAGACGCTTCCCCCATTTCCTATCTGGTCAGATCAATAATGTTAGCCAGTGCTAACATCAAGGAATGAGGCTAGCCCACATTTATAACCACTTTGATAGTGAATCATTTTAAATACAGTGCCCTGGGTGAGCCAGCTATGACTGGAGGCTGATGGCCATAGTTGTATCAAACAGTCCATCATCATTACGCCTGATAGGGTTCACTCACTTTGGCCCTCATGATTCTACATTTAATGCTATGTTCTGTAGTTGTCTTACTTGCAGTGATACATGACATCCACTCCGGATGTTATTGGAGTTACAGTGCTGTTTGAAGGTGTTCAACTCATAGGATTTAGTTTTTTTGATTGTTTTGGGGTTTTTATGTCTTAGAAAC